ATGTATGTAAGTATGTAAGTATGTGTTCTATATGTTGGTTTGTTTGTATGTGTACGTGTATCTATGTAGATGTATGTCTGTATGTTTATGTTTATACATACACGCCTATCATAACATATCTGTCTCTGTCTCTCTCTCTCTCTCTATATATATATATATGTATGTATGTATATATATATATATATATATATATATTGTACAGCCTGTGCTGTTTATGCTTCAAACTGTCTCAAGTTGCTATTGTGTGTTGCGTGCTTGCTGTACTCACCTACGTCTTAGAGTTGTCGCACATCTTTAGAAGCTGGCTGCGGGTGTAGGTATGTGTACCATAGAGGCCGGGAAATCACCAATATTATTCCTGGGGTTCCTTATTCCAACTAACAATGTACCTCAAAATCCTATTCTAATTATTATGGCCGATGTATTCGGTGTTGAATTTGGTGGAGCCTAAGGCTTAAGGCTCCTTCTCAGATTTTCCAATACACACGAAATAAGGAATACTCACCCTACTATAAACTATGGTATTGGCTTCTGGGTTGTTTAGGGTGTACAATAAGGTTTCGGTGAATAAACTAATGGTATTGTCGGGATCTGAGGTTAACAGCTCAAGGGCCCTCTGGAGGTGTTCGGTCCCTAATTCCTAAACCCTACGACTAACACTATAACCCCCACACTATTAGATTTCAATCTCTCAACCCCGCACCCTTGACCTCTTCCGAACCTGCCGTTTTCAGGACCTATATAACCCTAAGGGTCCATGTATCCAAGTGGTTCATACTTTGGCCGGACACTCGAAAAGGACTCGGATTCGACCGTAGCAGGCCTCGTCTCTGCAAGTGCAACAAACTGTCTGATGGGCGTTCCTTTACAGTCGGGACATTTCAGGCTTTAGGGTTTAGAATTCCCAAAGGGTCCAAGTACCATTATAGTAGATACTTAGTAGGTATTTGGGCCCCAATCGTGTATACTATACTAGTACTTGGACCCTTTGGAATTTAAAAGTTTCAGTATCCGTACCCTTGCAACTTCGGATATCTGAGGGTATCACAGGACCCAAGAGGCTCGTTTAAGAAGGATCCCAGAGTCTCCAAAACTTGTACACCTAGAAATCCACACCCCCCAAGGGTCCTACTTGGATTTAGGGTTTAGGGTTTAGGGCCCAAGGGTCCTACTTGGAGGTTCAGGGGACTTAGTAAGTAGGTTATAAGTAGAGTTAGAAGTACCCTAAGTGCACCCTACTTATAACCGACTTACTAAGGCCTCTAAGTATGTACCGTCCTCGGGGATACTTCCCTAAATCATAATAGTAACTCCTAATATTATAGGAACCCGACATTCTACCACACATGTACATAGGACCCTTTGGGACTGTATCTACTGGGTTGTCCAGGGGGAACTGCAAGGGGGGAACCAAAGGTTGACCTCAGAGATTCTAAATAGGGCTTAGGGTTTAGGGGTTTAGGGCTTAGGGCTGCAATGCGTAAGGTTACCCACTCCATTTCGTGGATTTAGGGTTTAGGGTTTAGGATTCTATTACCACCTACTTTACTCTTCCCACTGGTCCAACTCTTAGAATTAGAAGACCCTATCAAGACGGAACACATCCAAAATACCTGCGAAGCTCTGATAACTGCCCTTGTAACACACATGTGCGCTTTACAAACCCCCACACTACCCATAGGCTCCACAGTAAGCCTTTTTGGGATTACCTTGTAGGATCCTAAATAAAAACCACAAAAACGAGCTACTATGGAGCCTATGGGTATTTCTCCAGAAAGAATGCCCCTAAACCCTAAACCCTAAACCCTAGACCCTAAACCCTAAACCCTAAACCCTAGACCCTAAACCCTAAACCCTAGACCCTAAACCCTAAAACAAAACAAAACTCGGTCTCTGTCTGAGGTCCCGGCGCACTGCGGGAAATCCTTGCTTTGCAGAATTCTGGAGACGTTCGCTGCTTCGGTGCTCCTCAGAAAAAACACCCAGCAAAGTTGAAGGCTCCTCCTGACGTAGAGGCTTAAATACTTACCTAAACTGCTTTGGGCGGGTTCCTCATGTCAAATTTATAGTACCATATCCCCCAGAACCCTTATAGTATACCCCAAAACCCTATTCTAAACCCTAAACCCTCAACCCTCAACCCTTAGCCTTTTCTAAAAGTTCAAAACTCTAAACCCTTAGCCTTTTCCAAACTTCCTAAACCCTAAACCCTCAACCCTTAGCCCATTCTAATTCTTGAGGAGGCCCCCTATATGAAGCGCTCCTCCTGAGTAACTCCATTTAGGGTACTTGTAACTCTACTTGTAACCTACTTACTAAGTCGCCGGGCCTCCAAGTACATGTTGGAAGCCAGCCATTCGGACTTTACCAGCATGACATGGCACGCATAATTGCGGTTTAGGGTTTAGGGCTTTTAGGGCTTTTATGGCTTTTAGGGTTTAGGGTTTTGGGGGTTAAGGGTACGCATAAATACCCATGCAATGTCTAGTTGGTGTTTCAAGGACCCGCCGCTTACTTGCGCACTCTTGTTGCTGAAATGAATACGAACTCTGTCCTCATCCCTCCCATACACCTAAACCCTCCATCTACCCTCATCCGATTCTAGACACCTACTGTTGGGGACCCTGTAGCCCTGTTTTAAGCTTAAGTTTAGCGTTGAGGGTTTAGTTTGCGTTTTGGGGTGACGACTTGGGGTTTTGGGCTTGCGGTTTAGGATTTCGGGTTTTTGGGTTTGGGATTTGGGGTTTTGGGTTTAGGTCAGGGTTTTGGAGTTTATGCTTTCGGGCTCACAACACCAGACGCAAAATCAGCAAAATGTCGTGCTTCTAGCACGTGTCCGGATCTTGGCCAGATGCAAAAACAATCGAAAACATCACAGTACTACCCCAAACCCTAAACCCTAAATCGTGGTCACAAGGAGGAAGAATCCTAAACCCTAAACCCCAAACCCCAAACCGTAGTCACAGGAGGACGAACTTGAAGTAGGCTTGAGGGGCCCGGGCCTAATCCCCAAAGCCTTACGACCAACACAACCGACTCTGGCACCGGTCCACCAGCATGACACAAGTGCATGCAAGGTTTATAGCGTTTAGGGTTTAGGATTTGAGGTTTAGGATTTAGGGTTTAGGGTTTAGGGGCGATCAGCCCGCCAACCCAGAAGCAAAATGCAACGACAAAAACGGAAGGTTCACCCTTACACAGTCTATTCACTCACGACGCTATCCCTCATTTCACTTACCGCAACGGCAATGGCGACTACAAGGGAATATATTTTGAGTATCTGATGAATATTCATCCCGACCCTGGTGAATATAAATTCCGACCCACTAACCCCAAAACAGAAAATCCTAAACCCTAAAACCCTAAAACCTAAACCTTAAACCCTAAAGCCCCAATCCCTGAACCCTAAATCCTAAACCCTTAAAGCCCCAAACCCTAAACCAACCCTAAACCCTAAACCCAACTTCCGAGCTGAGCGTCGACTGGGCGAACCTCTTGCACGCATTCCGCAGGGTCGGAAGCCCCTGCGCGCAGTCAACGGTGCACCGGGAAAATGTACAGGTATGGCGTTGAAAAAACCTAGATAATGGAGCTTAGAGTTTAGAGTCTAAGGCTCCGGGTTTAACTAGG